ATATTTAGGTACGTTGCTCTTGGAGATTTTTTAAAAAGATATTTTGAATGTGGGTTAATTTTGCATATTGTTAATGAATTGTAATATTCTTTCAATAGCTTGGACACAAGGCTTTTGTCATGTTATTATGAGACTAATTCTAAACTAGTTATTAAAAATCATATAGTTACAAGATGCAAATGGAAAATAATTAGATAGACGTGGGGACCTTTAGATTATGCACAGTTTTTTCGTGACTTTCAAATTGTGTTCATGAACAATATTCTTTGTATTCCTTGCTTTAAAAAGTGTTAATGTTGACGAATTGATTCTTAGGGTGATACACCATTACCTCCAAAAAAAAAAATGTAATCTTTTTAATTTACCAAAAAACCTACAACCACTCTCCTAAGTCCTAAGGTGCACAAGATATACATTGGGTGAAGCCTGCTTTATACCTTTAGCTAGCACAAGATCATAATAAGGTAAACTAATATAAATTGTCTATAGTTGTCCAACTCAAATTAATATTGTCAATAATGTACTATTTAACCATTTATACAATTTAGTGGTTAGGAAGAATTTTAGATATTTCAATGGTATATCCCACGTTCGAGTCATCGTGATTTACATCCTCTCAAATATTATGTTGGGTTGAAATGTGATGGTCCCTTGAAATTGGAAATTCAACCTTTTGGGAGAAGAATTACATAGAGGCAGAGATTCCTCATTTTCTGATTCAATGAACGGCAAAAATGTAATAATGAACTGATAAATGTCAAAGATAATCTCACATAGTTATACACCTATTCCAAACTACTCCAAAAATATGCAACTCAAAAGCAATAATCCATGGATATGAACATTACATTTCTTAAGGCCACTGTTTCCACAAATTACAAGTAATAATTAGGCCAAATCTTCAAGAAAGCCTTCAAAAGTTCAGCCTTGAGCCTCTGATCCAAACAGTTTGATATATCGACAAAAAATTAAAACTAGAATCAAGCAACCATTATTGCTAAAAGTCGAATAGAGGTTAGAAGAAACGACTAACCATGATATGCCTTGAAAGGAAACCAGAGACATTTGTACATCTACAATCTGGAAAAAGAAAATGTATATCTATATGCTATTGTTAAAATGAATAAAAGTACTTTCATATAAATTTCACTATATTATATTATATTGAGTACAATTTAATACATCAATTGTATTTGTAATTTAATAATCGGTATATACCTTCTTTGAACTCTTGTTCACAGTTAGAATCTCATCATTAGTACAACCTGCGTCTTTTTTCCTTGGAACACTCACCTACCAAAACAGCATAGTATATTGTCATTTTAAGTAGAATAAAGAAAAGAGATTCTTTTTTTATAATATAATTTCATTCAAGTAAATTTATTACCTGTGAGATCTTTTGATAACCAATTTTGTGTACACATTAATGCCTCCAGAGTGTTTGCTCGAAGCTTACTTTTATGAGGACTCACCAATTTATCACTGGTGCAGAGAATGGATTTTGAACTCCCAGTGTAAATTTGAATAGCCAATATATCCTTAACCATCTTGTTCAATACCGGGTAACCCATTCCACCACCTTTCCACCAATCTATAATATCAAAATCATCACTTAATGACCCAGTTATTGGCCAAACATCTGTCTCCAAATAACGGTCCAAATCAGGTTTCAAGCTCTTTCTACGATTACGCATATAGGCAGCAAATCCAGAATCAAATAATTCCAAGGAATCCAAGCTACATCTTCTAACTTCATTCTCTTTTGAAACATTTGATAATGAACTTTTATATTCATCAAACAAATCATAGCAGTACTTCTTAACCCTTTGGATTTCATCATTAGCCAACTCCCCATAGAACTTAGAAAATAAACATTCTATGAACTTTAACTTAAATCTTGGGTCAAAAACAGCAGCTACTGCCATAATATCATGAACTTCTTTCCAATATTTATCAAACTTTGCTAACATACTTTCTGCTACAGTTCTAATAGCCAAACTAGAAGATGTGATCCAGTCACCAAAAGCATATTTGATCTTGCACATCAATGGGAAAAGAACATTAGGTGTTGGATATTTCCTCCCTAAAAATACACTCAAGCTCATATGAAACTGATGCAATATTTCATAAATATCATCAACTAACACCCAATTTTCTTCATCTGGTGCGCAAGTAAAAAGAGGTTCTTGCTGCTGCAAATGATGAAAAACATCCTTGTATTCCAAAGCAATACTGAGCATCAAATATGTGGAGTGCCATTGGGCCATACAATCAAGCACTAGTGGTTTGGAATATTCTTTTCCCAAGAGTCTTGTAGTTTCTCTAAAAGTTTGGTGTCTTGTTGGTGTGGCTATCCAAAATGCAACACTATCTCTAATCCTTTGTAGTCCATCACCAATAGCATTTAACCCATCTTGAACAATCAAATTCAAAATATGCATACAACAACTCATTTTAGTCAACTTGCCACGTAATAAGAGATGACTAGGATTTAGTTTGGATACAATGGTGTCAACTATACCATCATTTATAGAACAATTATCAACCGTTAAAGTAGACAATTTTTCTTCAATGTTCCAATCAAATATGCATTTCAACAACTCTTCGGAGAGAACATCCGATGTATATGGATAGGGCACATAAACAAACCTAACATATAAAAAAAATTACACTAGTATAAGAAATAAATTATATAAAATAATTTATGTGACCGATAATAATAGTAACATACCTCATAATCAAACTTTGTAGGTTCCAATTATTGTCAATAAAATGTGCCGTGATAGCCATGTATCTTTTCCTTTGATTCGAGGCTGTCCACATATCCATAGTTATTGCAACCCTACATGAACTCTTCCTCAAAAATTCCATAATTTTGGACTTTTCAGCAGCATAAACCTCCATGATATCACTCCTAACTGTTTTTTTAGAAGGAATCTTGAAATACGGTTGAAGGGTAGCTGAGAACTCTTTGAAACCATAGTGCTCAACTATTGAAATTGGATATTTATGCATAATTATCATATTAACAAGTTCCTTTCTTGAAGCTTCTGGATAAAATATGGAACTTTTTATATACACTTTTCCGTCTGCATTCCTTAAAGTAGGATTTTCATATTCATCATCACTTTGAAAGGGAGAGTCCATTGGTGATTCAAGAGGAGCAGATGAGCCACCATTTCCGACTCTACTAGCAACTGATGTAGTAGACTTTTCACCTTCCATCCCTTGAGATTCCATGCGTTTCTCTAAAATAAGTACTTCAGGTTTTAAGTCTAAGATAAAATAAATACTTCATGCTTTAAGTCTGACACATATAACCATTAGTGCAATGCTCCACTGTTAGTGTGCAAGTACATAAACTAGAAATTTTCAAAGCAACTTACATGAATCAACTAGGAAAGCAATGATTGCATTGTATAACCACTTAAGGTTAAAATAGAGTACGACCCAACTGTAATCGAGAAATATATGCTTCACTTGACTAAATGAGTTTTATGCTGATCGACAGTGCCAATAGCAGAAGCTCTAGCAAGAGTTATAGATTGCAACATGAAACATAAAACACTTTTCAGTATCTGCAAGGCAGCTAGAAATGCCCTGCACCAGAGAACAGTACTGCAATACCTCAATTCTTTTAGTGTTAACTATAGGGAGTTTTTCCACTTTCGTCCCACAACTATGGGACCATTTCCACATTTGGTCCCGACTATTAATTTTTCCACATTTTGTCCCATAAGTTTTAAATCATTGCCACATTTGGTCCTTCTGACCTAATTTCCAATCACCGGTGACCAAATTTCAGGCAAGGCGACTTATTTTGAAGGGTGAAATTGTCATTTCTGGTCCCCTTCCCAAGAGGTTTAAGAAAAAGTAATGGATAATAACAATTTTTTCCTTTAAGATAAGTCACGGGTGACAGAAAATTAGGTTAGAGGGATCAAATGCGACAAGGATTTAATAATTGGAGACCAAATGTGGAAATGTTCTCATACAAACTGAGAGCTGACAAGCAAAAATTCATCATAGTTGAACTTGAAAGATTCCAAAATAAACATGGTAGCATTTAGAGAATTTTTCCATGGCCTTAATAAGACAAGCAACATCTACATTTGATGTGGCAATACAAGTGATAATGCTAGATTCATATCTTCAAATATTGCTCAACAGATTACAAATTCACAGTGAGATGAATACTAACCGGTCAAACAGAGTAGAAAAATCAATGACAACATAATATATGACTCAAAAATAGGTGGCTGCATATGGGTCAAGCAGGGTTTTAACTGTAGAATAGTAAATTAGCTAAATGGTATATACTAAACGAATAAGCAACGAAATCACAGCCAAGGTAGGTGGTGAAAGTAATTGTTTGTTACCGGAGCCTGGGCCTTGAAAGCAAAGATCGTGATGTCTTGGGGAGAAGTGCAGAGGCGTCGTTCGGGTAAAGGATACTGGAAGCGAGTATCGGAGTAGGGATTTTATAGGGGAGATATATACACTCAAAAGTCGGGGTCACGCGGGGCGGGTATCCGGCGGGCACCCCGCCCGGGTTCCCCGAAGAGCATTCGCATATACTGACATATGATCATGCTAGTAACCATAGGTTGCAGATTTTAGTGAAATGAAACGACAATAGCCTTGTTCTGGCTTTTTTAATTTCAAATTCAATTATCTGCATTTTCTTTAATATTTAAAACTAAATTTGCACATATGACACTTACTAACTCCCCGAGGGAAGGTCATAGGATCAAATTTCTGTAGTTAGGTATTAACTCTTTAGGTGTAATAGTTACAGAAAGTATAAACAGATATTACTTTGTAATAGAGTCAGTAATATTTTTTTTAAAAAAGTATTAAAAAAAAAAGTCAAACACAACAATATTTTTTTAAAACCAAACACAACAGTAATTGTTAATAAATAAATTTTAAAAAAATACCAAACTCAATATAATGATTAAACTTTGTATTAACTCAAAAGAATTTTTGGAGGCATAAAATGACAAAATTAAACATATACACAATTGATTGGAAGAGCTACATATAAAAAGGAAAATTTTAGGTACATTCTTGACAGGATGCGAGTATAATATTGAGAATTGAGAATAGTTAGTGAAGAAAAGAAAGGATAACAATGGCGATTGCTGAGCTTATTGGAGACCTAGAATGCATGGCGAAGCATGAAATAGTTGGTGATGAATCCCCCGTCAGAAAGTCCGGTAGCCATAGACTGTCGTACTGATTTCCCTCCGGCATCAAACCGGGATCAGATTCAGGATCCTTGGTTGTTTCGTTAGCCGCCGGCGGCCCGTTTGATATTCCTGTTTCCACTGGAGGTGCATTCAGCGTTGCATTGGCCACCGGAGGTCCGTTTAATGCTCCGGCATCCACCGGCGGCCCGTTTGATGTTCCGGCGCTCACAGGCGGCGGAGGGAGAGGGGGAGGTTTAGTTATTGAAGGGCAGAAGGTAAGCACATAATTAGCTCCGGTGCAGGTAAAGGTACTGGTGGCGTCATCGTAGGCGTAGGTGTAAGACGTCGGGCACGCCGTCTTGAACATTCTAGAATACACCGACGGCTTGCATGTCGCCGGCGAGGAATACGCGCCGCTGCAACAATATTCCGGCTTCGCGAACGCCCCGCACGCGCTCTTGCACGCCAGCCCGTCCTTGGCCCGCAATTCGTTCGGGCAAATTCTGTTCAAGTCCGCAGCGCAACCCGTTGACCCGCACGCGCCCAATCCCCCAACCGCCTCCACTTTTATCGGCAAGTTATATCCATCAACCAGACTAACATCGTAGAAGTCTTTGCCGCCGCCGGAGCCAATCGTGAACTCAGCCAAGGTCGCCGGAGGAATCGCGCCGGCGCCATTGCACTCTACCGACGGACCACAGTCCGCGGTTGTGCAATTTCCTCCACCGCCACTACCATCAAATCTACAACCGGTCCTGCCCCAAATCCGGCCCGACCACTTCGCCGGAGCTTGGAAAGCCCTTGAACCACCCGAACCAAGCTCGAATCCAGTACTATCAAATCTTGCACTGCCCGCATTTCCCAGTATTCCGGGCCATACTGTGAACTCGCACTTGTTAACCAACGTAAATGTAGCCGCTAATACACCTACAAAAATCCAAGAACGTAACCTCAAAATCTGAACAATTTATCTATCATCTCCGTTTTTCATTAACAATTCTGTTTACCTTTGCAGATTCCCAGGACCATGAAGAAGATGAAAATAATAGAGCTAGGAGTCGCCGACATGTGGTATTTTCTCGAATACTTGGTGTGCGTGTAGAATTAAAAAAAGAAAGAAAGATATATATGTAATGGAGCTTTGTTAGAGGATTAACAATGGCGGACAAGAGGGAAGGGGATGTAGTGGTGAGAGAGTGAGAAAGCGAAGTTTTAGCTACCATGGATGGATGAACCAGAGTTCCCGCCAAATGATGACAATTTTTTTTTAACGTTATTTAATGACAAAATGGAATCAAACGTGGTTTCTGGCGTTACTAAGGGCCCGACAAAGTTTCACAATCCATGACAGGGGAAGCCATTCTATACTAGCTCTCCGACGACAGACCAAACATAATGTATTAGAAAATTGTACTATTCACAAGAATGTTTGTTTTTAAATTAACAAGGTCAAAAGTTAGAAAAGTTTTCTAACTTTTTATCTAAAGATGATAAAAAATGCAAGATTTTCAGCAACATTTCTGTTGGTAAAAATGTTCGACTCTCGCTAACAATATTTTGAAGTTAGGATTGTAGCTAAAGTCAATGACAATGTGAAATTTGGGCTCATGCATCATCAAATTGGCAGAAGTGTGAAGATAAATTTCTTATGCGTAGAGTCAATCATATAATCGAGATTAACTAGGAGACTATTGTGTGACTCACGATTTACCTCATCCAACGACTCTTTAGACAACACTTAAAAATAACCAAGTTTCGAGCCTCCATCTCAATCACTTTTAATTTTGGGTAGCTTAGTGTCCGACCTAACAGTTCACCAAAAGGTGTGTTTACTCCCACACGAGATTATAATAAGGTGCGAGTAGATCTGGGTAGCTAGACTGATGTAGTACATACGGACAATATCAACTACTATATATGGTTCTAGGGTCGGTTATGTGTTCAGATCCTTTGCCTAGTCTACTTGTTGGTTTAAGTTCTAGAGTTTGGAATACTTTCCAATGGGTCAGAGGTTCCTAAGCTAATAGCCAGCGTATAGAAATAGCCAAATATCCACATCTCAGCAATAAATGCGGTATGTATAGGAAAGATGAGGACAGGTTCTGGTCTTGCGGCATGCACGACACGTGGAACTCATGTAGAGGCTCAGCCCGAGGTCCAAGGGGGCTTGGCCACAAGCTCTGATATTTCTGAAGATTTTGCACTCCTACCGGAATTAGGTCGGTGAGGTCGGTCCCGACCTGAATTGGTCACCGGGGTGCAAAGAACATAAAGGCACTTGTACAAGCTGCCCTTAACAGAACTCAATAAGCGAGAAGGTCGGGAGTGTGCGGGTACGAGGTCGGACCATACCCAACTCATTAAGATAGTCCGGTATCGACCGTCATACAAGCACGATTATCGAAGAATAATCACTATCAAACACTATCATAACTAGTTGTAATAAATGCCACATAACCCTAGGCACGTGTAGCAAAAGATGTGTTTATAACCCATGCACGTGTAGCAAAATATGTGTTTACCCCCACAACTCCACAAGAGATTCTAAGGCACGGGGTAGACCCTGGTAACTTGACCAAAGGTTAGCACTATCACAATTAGTTGTAGCAATTTAAATGCCGCATAGCCCGAGGCATGAGTAGCAATATCGATCATTAGTCAATCCTGCACTAGTATTAGAGATGACCACGGTTCGATTCGGATGAACCATATATGCATATACTGATGGAATCGAATCGGAACTAGAATTGTATGGACTGACGATTCCAGTTCCATGCATGACAGGAAAAAAAATTATTATTGTTTTTAAAATGAAAAGTCGAAGGTTATGTAGGCAACTTAATCTTGATAAAATGATGTGTAAGCCTAAAAAATCTAGTTAGAACCGACTATTCAAACCGAAATCGGAACTTTTATATATAAGGTTCCGGTTTTGGTTTCGGAAAACGATTTTGGGTTGGGCATTTCCGAAACCAAAACCATGGTCATGACTATGCACTATTGCACTGGAGCGGAGAGTTATACACATGATTTTTGTAAGCATTAAGGAAGGACGTGAAAATGAAGCTAGATTCAATATTTCTAACTTGAAACAACCTAAAGCCACTCAAAAATTAATTTTCTTTCTCGTTCGTTATTACTTATTATCAAACATTCATAAATGACCCCAGTGATTGACTGATTGTATGTTGGGAAAACTGGAATAATTTGGGCATAAATCATTAATATTATGGTAATTGATAAAGTAATCTATAATTTACATCAACAGTTTCAATACAAGAAAATGATCCATATATAACTCTTCTCCATTTACCTAAACCCTACTTTTCCTTCTAATAAATTATGATCAGATCAGGATCTACATACACGTCGAAATTGAAAGATTTGGGCTCTCGCATGAAAGTTGTGACACCATATATACCCACAAGGTTATATTATATGGGCGTGGGATTGAAGAGCAAGATCGCTACAAAGACGGAGATGGCAACATAAATGGCTTCTAATCTAATTGAAGACCCACTTCCACTTGCACCCTCGTACACCATTGTGCTGTCCATTACTGAAGGTATCCCGTCTTCGCGATCGCCGCCGCTCATTGAAGACGACTTTTGCCTGCAACAATTTTCAGCATCTGATGCTACTGACTCTATTACAACATACTTTTTTAAATGTTGAGTTTCGATCTCATAACCTCCCACATAGAAAAGATCACTATATGTTATCTGAGTACAATGTGTTTGGTCTTATGTTAATTATTATATATATATTATTTTTAGATGAGAATCCACATGGTATGGTATAACAATTGATTGCCGATTTGCTGGCGTTTATAACTCGAATGTACCCAAAAAAAAAAAACTTGTTTTTTTTTTAAAAAAAAACCACTGATCTCTGAGTCCAAATTACGTGTTTGAGTTGAAAAGGTGAACCGTCTGATTTTGCATGATCGTCGTGGCACGTAATTTCATTCATCGTTGTTTGGGAGTCTAAAATTAGAAGTCCGTAATGCCAACGCAACTTTTACTGCTCTTCTCGATCGGCTATTTTTAGATTGCTAATTAATATTTCTATTTATAGTATAGTGTCAACTTTTCATTAATACTAAAATAACAAAAATATTAATTTGATATGAACTGGGAAATTAAAGGTACCTGGTATCTAGTGGAGGGCAGAAAGTGATGTCATAGTCGGCGCCGGTGCAGGTAAACGTGCTGCTTTTATCGTCGTAGGCGTAGCTGTACGCGCGCGGGCAAGCGTTCTTGAACACCTCAGAGTAGGCCGACGGCTTACAAGTGTCGGGTGTTTGATACGCGCCGCTGCAGCAGTAGTGCGGCTCGCCGAAAGCCTCGCAGGCGCTCTTACACCCCACGCTCTGCCCCGCCGAGCTCGTCAGCTTCAGCGCCGCCGGGCAGGCGCCAATCAAGTCCGCCATGCACCCCGTGTTTGTGCAGTTCCCGCCGGAGCCGGAGCCGCCGCGCGGGGCCACCAGCATCGGGAGGTTGTACCCGTCCACCAAGCTCACGTCGTAGAAGTCCATGCCGTCGTGGCCGTCGAGCGTGAATTCCGCCAGCGTGGCCGGCGGGGCGGCGCTGCCTCCGGCGCATTCCGCGCTCCCGGAGCCGCAATCGCCGGTGACGCAAGTGAATTTCCCGGTGGTGTCGTGGGAACAGTGGGTCCTACCCCAGAATCGGCCGCCCCATGAAGGCGGCGCGTTTATGGCCCTTGATTCGCCCTTCTCCAGAGTGAAGCCGGTGGTGGAGAGCGGCGCAACTCCGGCGTTCGACAAAATGCCTGGCCAGACTGTTTGCTCGCAATTGTTTATTAAGGTGAAGATCGCCGATGAATATGCTCCTAATTTACATTTAAAAAGAATTTATACTTTTCAGAAAAATAAATCTTTTTTAAAGAAAGAAACATTCATATTAATAATCTTTTTATTCGCAATACCTGATATGAACAGAATCGTGAACGCTACAAATAAAACAAAAACAAATTCTGCCATTAATGTTATAAGTTATAAAGTGAGAATTTAGACAGAGAGAGAGAGAGAAAGGCTTTTCTGGTACTGAGAGTGTCTGCCCGCTATGCGTGTATATACGCAGCAAGAAGGGGAAATGTACTGCATTGCCGTTTTTATGGCAAAGTTTTATGTGGACCATGGTCTACATAGCGTTATGTAGACTATGAAGACAATGTAAATTTTTAATATATTAAAATTATATATTAATGTACTTTTAGTATATTAAAAAAATATATTTTTTTATAATCTATACAACGATATATGAACCATGATGACATGATTCATGGAATAATGATTGTGTTGTTGGAGTATGGTTTACTGTTTTGCAACCGTGAAATAGATATAAAAGAAAATATACCTTGCTATTTCTTTGATATCCTTATAAATTAAACTAGTAACGGAAAAAATTAAGAGCCATGGAAAGATCATGTATCAATTGTAGAGCATATATAATCACTTAAAGGAGCAATTTATTGGTCTTATTAATTTTAGATTAGATGATCAGTTATATTTAAACATATAAAATTGGTTTATCACATTGTAATATTTTATCTGTTAGAATCACAAAACACGTTTTATTTAATGTATAATTTTAAATAGGAACGATGAATTTTTCGATAAATCAGAAGTAAAACATCAATCCATCTCAAGATTGAGGAAAATCAAAATGTATTTGTCTCATCCAACTAAGGGCTTCCGTAATTTTCATTGCATTAATTTTTATGTAGTACGTGTTCTTAGTACAATTGCTCATTCACAGTAGTTTTTTTTTTTTTTTTTTTTTTTTTTTACACAGTAGCTTCTTCAATTATTGATAAAAATGTTAGTTCATTCGAACAGCTATCAAATTTTGGCTGCGTGTCTCTAAGAATCTTTGTTGCTTTAATTATTTGACTATGTTTGACTGATAATATATGATTGAACAATTATTCCCTTCATCTTTTAATTAAGATATCTTGATGAATAATTGAATATGAATTGATCATTATAAAAAAAAAAAATTATATTTGAATATTTCAAATGAATTAACAAATATTATGAGAGTTCTGATGGTGGTGAATAACTCGATTTATCAAAGTGAGAAGACGGCCCTTTCTTCGCGATCGACGACCGTTCACCGGTCGTTTTCTTGTCGGATCGGAATTTGCGTTAGATGGGGGCCGGAACGCTAGTGACTTGTGATCATGGTTGCAGTAGGCGCTAGGCGCTAGTCGGGCGCCCGGACAGCGCCTAGCGCCTAGGCGGTCTAGGCGGAACCTAGGCGGCGCTAGGCGGGCGCAAAAAAAACAGTGGTAGACTTGCAGTTTGACAATTTTAATGAGGTTGTTTTCAACATTTAATCAAATAACACATCCAAATAAATGAATTAATGATAATTCATAAGTCATAACACCAAAACAATGGTTTTCAAAAAAAAAAAAAAAAACATTAAAACAATATTAAAAATTAAAAATACTCAAATATGAAATACTCAAATAATTCAATCATCCAAAGATTCAAAGTATCAAACTAGTCTACGAGTGTATATATGTCATATTATATATATGTATGTGCGTGCACACACATATATATAATAAAAAAAAAATAGGCCGAGTCGATCGGGTTAACTCGACCGAAATGGACGTGTTAACTCGACTAACTTAGACGCTAGGCGGCCAAATCGGCCGAGTTAGGCGCTAGGCGGACACCTAGGCGGCCGGTAACCTAGGCGGGCGCTAGACCAATTTTTACAACCCTGCTTGTGATAGTAGGTCACTAACTAGTTTTTGGACTACTTCAATGTTGATAGGTTTAATTATAATTTTACAATGTTTAAGGGTCTAATTGACTTTTTAGGTAAAGTTCGAATGATCATTTTCTAAAATAAAATAATAATGATAATGATAATAATAATAATAATAATAATAATATAATAATAAAAATAATACTTCATTACGTACCATTCCAGTTACTCAATTAACTTTGCCATCAAAATCCGGTACCATCTTATATCGACTCCTTCAAATTAAAGGAATAATATTTAAGTTGAAATTAAAATATACTCTTCAACTAATTTTTGTGAGCTTATGATGAATTGTCTAAAGTGGGCCAATGGTAAAATCTTCTATTTTAAGTTAGCGCTTTTGTATTAGAATTAGGGCATTGATTGGTTTGAATGCATGCCAAAATCATCAATATATCTTTTTATGCTATACTTTTTAGGTACAATAAAAGTCTTTTAACTTAAATTTCTAACATATTCTCGACACTTATTACTTTTCTACTATTTTAATCATAAAATTTTGAATGTAAAACATAAAAAGAAATCAAAATTTTCACTTGAATAATAACAAATTGTTGGTACATTAAAGCATATCTATTATTATATATGAGAAAAAAAAAAAAAAAAAAAAGGACAACAACCATTAGTATGATTTGAAGCCGTCAAAACGGGCTTTGCCTGTCGGGTCGGCCCGTCCTGCCTTAAGTAGGGGATGGATTTCGAAAATCGCAGCCCACCAAAGAGCGGGTTTTTTTGGCCCACGGGCTGCTCGCCACACATATATATATATATATATATATATATATATATATATATATATATATATATATATATATAATATTTTACTGTTTGAGAAATTTTGAATGGCGCAGTTCAAAAAATAAATTTGCAAAAAATACTTACTGGACTCTTTTTTGCTTGAATTTTTGTTGGGAGAACCTACACTTATATATCTTGATATCCATAAAAATTTTTGGTTGAAAACATGTTCCAATGATCACATAAAATTTCGTTAAGTTCTTAACAGTGTGCTGTCCAAAAAATTTCTGGCTGACGCAGTTTAAAGAAAAAATTTGAGAAAATTACTTATAGGTCTTGGATTGATATAAAAAAATTTGTGTATGTTCGAGACTTGCTGAACTTCATATTTGAAAAAAATAGTATCAAAATTCGTTACCAAACACGCCCAGAAAATTTCACAATATAGGTCAAAATTTTTTGAATTTTCTATCAGTTCCAGTTTCTTATATATATATATATATATATATATATATATATATATATATATATATATATATATATAAAAGTAATAACTATAACCTAATAACTAATAAGTAATAACCATAACCCTAGCCCGCGGGCCAGTCAAACCTAAGCTCGGCCCGCTTAGGCCCGCTATCCGTCTCGCCCGGCAGCCCGTATTGACAGCTCTAAATATGATGCTTCATAATTATATTCATGAATACTTGAATCTCTAGTTATATTAATAAAACATCCTATATGGGAAGAATAGAAAAGTAATTATGAGTCGACAGAAGCTTCGCTTAATGATTCAATAAGCAGTATTTGGTAGAAGAGACTAAGTTCGAACTTTGGCGGCGATACTGTAGGGATTATGTTTAAAGTGGACAAATATCTTGTGCATATCGGCATTTGGCCATATCTCCTGAGCCATTGAGTCACCGTGATTTATATATTCTCAAACGCTCTCAAATCAGAATGTGGGAGGCTTTTAGGATTGAGGATTCAATCTTTTGGAAGAAGTAGAAAAGTAATTATGATTAGAGGAATTAAAAGGTTGATTTATTAAGACGTAATCTTGAGAGAAATGGTCGCCTAAACAATTAATACTTAATTATTCGAATCAACTTTTTAACTACCAATGCAATAATTTCTTTTTGTTTGTATATGTGCTTTTGGGATGAAATTTGCCAGCAAAACATGATCCAACGTACTACCCAAATCAGCTTGGTTGATGTGAGTAGTCGTGCACTCTTGTCTCTAAAGAAATGTTAGGAGTTCAAAACTCCCCTCGTATGAAAAATCAATTTGGCCAGCATTTTGTCCCTTAATTGTGACGTCCCAGTACGAACGAAGATTTATGAGTATGGTACGAGCTTAAATACACCTCATACAGTTAGAACATGCTCAGGAAACCTTTGGTCCAACCAAAAAATCAACTTTGATTAGCAATTAATGTTGATTCCACAAACCTCGACATTTTACTCATCAATTGATCCACAAAGGTCTTGAAAATTGAAATAAGTCTTGAAATGGATGGAACATGATTTTTGTACTTCAAAGTTTTTAGTTTAATTTTTACCAACATCTTTTTAGTCAAACTTGTCGTATAGAGAAGATTGTTCTATGGAGTTCAACTCATGACATTTTGCCTACTTTTTTTTTTTTTTTTAGTATTATTGACTCTGTTACAATGTAGTATATATCAATATATACTTTCTCAATCTATTGAAGTACAAAGAGTTAATGCCCTCACTGGAATTCAAATCTGTGACCTTTCATTTGGGAGAGCCACAACTATACCGCTTGACCACAAGATCTTTAACGAGATTCTGCCTACTAATTATTGAAGTGGATTTGTGTTATACTGTTATATATACATTCTATGGATCCACTGGAACAGTTTGATCCAAAATGTGTTTCGTCAAAATATTTTGAAGAAATTTATGTGAACCAAAACCACTACAGATATGGACCATGTAACCCAACAATGTAAACTACACCTAATAAGTAGAAATGGTCATTATTAATGATTTTGGAATTAGGCTTAAAAAACCCAAATATAAGCATTTTGGGCTTATCAAATTCATTACTTGGAGATTCATTTGCAAATGCAATTTCTCAATAAATGGCCCAAACCCACAAATCCAGGTTTGTAGGCATGATGTTAGACATCTTGAATAGCTTTTCAATAGTTATGCTGTGCAACCGAAATGGTGCACACAGTTTCAAAATGACGTCATTTTGACTAAAAATGTGCGTTTCATTTAAAAAAGAAAATTCAGTTTCGATTCACCTCAATAGCATTATGTTGTTCATTTATTGTCGATTTTTAGTTCATTCATTGTGGATATTTAGTTCCATTCAGTGTGAATTTTTAGTTCATTGATTGTGGATATTTAGTTCATTCATTCTGAATTTTGTGTTATTCATTCACTGTGGATATATAGTTATAAATTTGTGGATATATAGTTATGAATTTGTGGATAATTCAAATTATACACAAAAAATGCTATTGTCGGGAATCGAATCTGATTTTTTTTTTTTTTTTTTTTAAGTGGGACGCGCGTTTTTAATCAAAACGACGTCGTTT